GGTATCTGGTGTCTTTTGTTGGCCACAAAACAGCTGCAGCTAACATACAGTTAATGGGAATAAAAAAGAAATTTAAAAAGTACACAACATTTAGCAAAGAGAGAAATATTGTAACAACTTATTAAAAGATTATACCTGAATACCGCGGGTTGGCCACCCCGGGTCTAGTGGCTAGGATTCAGCACTCTCACCGCTGCGGCCCGGGTACGATTCCTGGTCAGGGAATGTGGCTTCAGGCGCTACAGTTCCCTAGAATATCCTACACTTATAGCGCTACAGCTTGATTCAGGGTCTTCCTTTATCATGTCCCAGTTGCTCTAAAACTTACCGAGCATCATTATATAGAATATGGAAAGATTTCACCATTCACCTGCTTTAGCTCAGCAAACAGGAAAGATTTTCACATTAGATCAAACAATTTCTGAGGAGGTCACTGTACCATCATGCATTTACTGTGAATTCAACCTGGATCCACTGCTTGGAAAACACCTTTGCTCAACGCTATAGCTTAATAAGACAGAAATAAAAAAAACTGCTTGGTTTGAGGTTTTAATCTGCACAGTCCATACCAATTCCGACCTCCCAGCAGCATGTCTCGTCAGAACAGCACTGTGTCAGCAGGAGGACAGCATGGTCGTCGCCAGGCTGACCTACAGCAGAAATGTACTAGATAAATTATGTATGGATTAATTCATTTTATTAATATCTCCTTTTTGCTACAAAGGACTGGGGGGTTAAACCTACAAAGCTCACAGTGACACCTGGAGGCTGATCCTTCAGAAGAGATTCAAATAAAACGTTTCCAACACATAAATAGGGTACAAGATGATCCCCCTGATTTACAGAGCTGTCTTTAGCAATTCCACTTCAATTGCAGCAAAGAAACAAACCATCTCCAGTCATAAAAAGAGGTCCAGGGATGACGTGCGAGTCTTAGAGACAGGGTGGGTCAACATATTTGGTAACTGGCCACTAAGCTAGCTAAAGGGGTCCGAGATGACGTGTGAGTCTCAGAGACATATTTGGTAACCGGCCAGTAAGCTAGCTAAGGTACACATTCATGTGTACATACAGTACATGTGCTTACTTTTCTTTGTATGTTTTGTAGTGACAGGCGATGTTGTTGCGGTCAATTCAGTGAAGTTTGCACTGCAGATGTTGCATACTGCTGTTCTCTTCTTACTACCGTCATCAAAAACCAATGATTACCTTCCTCCTTATTTATACCTCTGGCAGACGCTCCGTCATTGCCGGAGCATTAACTTGCATACCCCGTAACAGCCCTATATTTGTGGTATGTATCGTACGTCATTTTGTTTTCCATGCTGACAGTTCCTGTGCTGTGGATCTCATTTTGTATGTTGGTTACTTGTTTTGTGTTACACGTCTCTAGATGTCCACGCTGACAATTCCTGTGCTGTGGGTCTCCTTTTCGTTCGCCAGTCCTCCTGGTTGGTTTAACTATTCACCTGTCCGTCCTGATCCTCCTACTCTCCTGGTTCCTACCGTTGTTCTGCATTACTCACCTGTTCGTCCTGGTCTCCTCCACCATCTCTGCCCTACTTTGCTGTTATATGTACATGGACTATGATACGTGTTTTTTTTTTTGTTACTTTGTATTTTCCCTATTAAACCACCTTTTGTACTAGCAACTGGGTAAGCAATCTTGAGTCCTACCTCAGTTCTCCCTCACCCTCCTAGTGAGGGGGACTAAACCATAACAAAGAGATTCAAATAAAAAGTTTCCAACACATAAATAGGCTACAAGATGATCCACCTGATTTACAGAGCTGTCTTTAGCAATTCCACTTCAATTGCAGCAAAGAAATAAACCATCTCCACTTGTAAAAAAGAGGTCCAGGGATGATGCGTGAGCCTCTGAGACAGGGTAGGTCAACATATTTGGTAACTTCCACCTGCCCAGGGTCTGTCCTGGTCCTGGCTTGTATGGTACCCACCCCTTTTTGGTCAGGGTACTGTCACCCCGTTGGCTGTTGTTGCTTCCTGGTTTCAGGCTTTTTTTGTCAAGCTTTCTCTTTGCCCTGCCTGGCTGCATCTGGAGCCAACTGAATCCAGTGACCAGGCTGCTTTATAGGCTGGCTTCACAAGTCAGTCACCATTGGTCTTGGTCATGCTGTCAAGACTTTGGATTATGCTCCTGTTTTTGGGACTTCCCTTTAGGTTGTCTTAGTTTTGTATTCCAGGACTCAAACAGATGGTTTTGCCAGCCCCAAGCTGTGATTTTTGTTTTGTAAGTTTACATGTGTTACAAGGCTCTAAGTGACTGAGCTTGTTGAAAACAGTTTTCAAAGACAACAAGAAACTTCCAGCCTCTGCTTTCAATATACAGAAGTAGTAACTTCTAACAGCCCTAACACTTTCATACTGTGCTGGAAATGAAAGACAGAGTCACCAGCTGTGATCATTTGGCAATGTCTATCTAGTCATTTAATTTTTAACACAATGCAGCACAACATAATCACTATTAATAGTGAATCAACAATAATACACACCATTTATTTAGTTAGTTCAGTTGCTCTCATAACTTAATAAAAGCTCTTGATTGCAGTACAGTTAAAGCAAAGTCACAGCAGTCCTTGAGCAAAGCACATGTACAGGCCTACTTGGGTTGCTGCTTACATTAACATTAAAAGATTCAGATTAATTTTGAGCATCTTTACAATTGCAGGCACATTGTTATTAAGATTTGTAATAAATATTACCTCAGTCTACAGATACAATGTTGCACATGTTAAAACTATTTAGCTGTCACTAATTATTCATAACATCTCTTATAAAATGTGTTTGCTCAGTAGTTTTGAATAGTGCTCAGGGTGATGTCGTTTAAGGTAAACATTCATTTTTCCTTCAACTCGATGATCTCCAGTCAGACCTGTAACAAAGAAAAAATATTCATTACTTTCAAGAGAAGTAGAGTACTGACCAGAAAATTAATATCCTATCTAATAAACATAATACATGACACTGAATACTTTACATGGTTGAGCAGTCTGACAGGTTTGAGCTCACCCAGCTTTTCAGCTGTTGTTTCAATCTTCCCCAGAGCAGACTGCATGTCCTCTATCTCTGGTAAGAGCACTTCTACCTCTCCCACACAGTAGCCAAAGTCAGCTTGGTCCAGATCTATCTGCACTCCCTCCTCCTCTAAAGTGAATGTCTGCCGTGTTGTTGTAAACTCTGCAAAGCATACCAGATTCATTTTGCTGAACCAAGACTCATCCTGCTGTAAGGAGCTTGTCTCTGTGTCTCTGCGCTCATGAACATCTTTGACAACCTCTTTAACTCTCAGCTGAATTTGAGAGAGGTTGATTATCTCCTTGTAGTGAGTACACAGCGCTGCAGCTTTACATGGTTCCCCGACTGTCTCTCCACTGCTGCTGACTGCTGCCATTGGACACTTGAGCTCCCAGCATCCTTTACGTTTACGCAGCCACATGTCGCTTAAAGTCAGGTGAAATTGGGGGGTGTCAAAGTATTGGTCGTGAAACTGATGCTGACCAACACACTTTGCTGAGGAAGAGCAGCTGGAGGGGAAGAGAGAAAGATGTTTTTCAGACATGGATGGATAAATAAATAAAAACATTAACAAGGCTGATACCGGTAAACAAACTTATTAACAAGAGAAAATGGCCAGCGTCATTACAGTTAGAAATTAGTGGAATTAAATGTCGGAAAAGCCTTTTAGTGACAATTTGTAAGTTGATGAGAGATCACAGCAAGGATGTGTCTAGAAATTTTTTAGTGAGGGGGCTATACTAGTGTACAAACTCAAAGACAGTGGGCAAATTAGGGAAATTGGTAAAAAGGTGTTACTTCCACATTCAAACCCCTGCTTGTAAGAGATAATAAACTGTATGTTATATTACAATGAAAGTCTTTGTTCACTTTAAGAAATGTGCACACTTTTGGCACAAGTCTGTGTATATTAGGGTGGCCCAAAATCCCCAAATCCAAAATTCTTTGAGTCACAGTAAAATATTATACAAATTACTGAAGAGAATTCATGGATAAAAGTTTACTTGCCTAGTCCCAAATTTAGGGGTCCACCCAAAAATGCTTCTAAACAAAGCCCAATTAAACCACTTATGTGCAGTTTGACATGAAATCAGTAACCAAACAGTCATTATACATACGCTTCACCCACTTCAAACCCCCCCCAAATTGTCCCCGATGGTTAGAGCCATCGGTTGATTTGGCACCATAGATGGCTGCGATCGGAAACAAATTCCTTGTGTGTAATATACTTGGCGAATAAGGGTGATTATCCTTATTATCATGTCCTTGACAGCAACACTGAATTGAATATTATAGAAATGCCATCATATGGTTAAATTTAATGTATATATGGTTGTATTATATGAAACTTATAATTACTATATATAATGTACAATATTACATACAGTATATCAAGTATGGAAACAATGTGACAGTATGTTAAGAAATTCATTCAAATAGTTACTGAGCATGTGACAGCTGTCTTCACATCATCCAGGATTAGAAAGATGGAGACTGTAGTGCTACTGGTGTCAAAGGTCACTGTCTTAAATGGGCAGTTACTGCAATATGACAGGGTGGACAGTAGATTCTTGGACATATTTAAATACTCATATTATGATGAAAATTGGAAAATGAGCAAAAAATGTTGAAGAATGTTTAAAAAATTTTGTATTATGTTCATAAAATATGCACTGGCTCACTTTGGAGGTGCATTCTGAGAGCTAAATTTCACCACCCCATCAGGAGAGTGTGTATGCGCAGAGCAGTTGCCAGTTACTGCTTAAATATCTGCATCCTCTAAACAAAGAAAATGCAGTGCAAAAACAAAGAAGGATGGTCCATGTCAACTCCGGAGGCTAAGCTTGGTAATGGTTAAGGAAAGTATGGGGTGTACTGCTTGTTCAATTCTGATAGTGGAAAGGCAGCATATCAGTTTAGGCGTCTTGATTCTTTGTGGCCGGGGGAGGGGGGGTTCATGCCTGTGCCCAGGGGTGCATTATGTTATAATCCATCGATGACATTTTGAGGTCTGTGTTTTACTAAATATTGGAAGGAACAAATCAAATTTCTTTCAGGTGCTGTTCATTAGTGTTTCGTACTTTTGAGGGAAGTTGATATCCATCCCCTGCAGCAATGATCTCATATTATTATTTATAATGATAATGATTCATTTCAGCATTCACTCTAAATTATGAGTAAACGTATAACAGATAAATTAAAACACATACCCCCAATCTCCTCCAGTGTTTTCAGAGTTTCAGCATTGAATAAAAACTTTCTCTCCACTTCTACGCTCATCTGTAATGACATGAGAGTTTCATCAGCAAGCATGAGAGTTTCATCTAAGATTGCAGGTCCAGCAAAATAACTTTAATTTAAAATGCATATAAGTTCACTCATAGTCCCAAGTACTGCAGTCTGGAGCGGGGGAGCAGAGGGTGCAGCCACCCTGTGCCCACGGTTACAAAGGGGCCCACCTACTGGCCCAATCTGCCTGACTGGGCTTACTGTCTGTTTGTGTGTTTTGATTGTGGTAAAATAAAAAAAAGTCAGCCTCAAACCATGTCTGTGTCTTCTGCAGAGCAGACAAGTGCTGAGGAGTTCTTGATTTATGTAGCAAACAGCACCAGCAGGGACGGTGTGGCCTGTGTGGTATAGTCGTTGATTTCACACCCTTAGTACCCCCTTAACAGAGCCCCTGCACTTTGAGTCAGTTTGGCTGCTGGCATCATATCAACATGTCTGCTGTTTTCCATTTTTTTTTGAGGGAACAATGAAAGTGACTCCAGCTTCCTCGCGCTGTCCAAAGACATGCGGCTTACGTTGATTGGTGACTCTAAATTGCCCGTAGGAGTGAATGTGTGTGTGTGGTTGTTCGTCTGCGTCTTAGCCCTGCGATGGACTGGCGTTCTGTCCAGGGTGTACCCTGCCTTTCGTCCGATGCCGGCTGGGATTTCACCAACGGTGAAATGGCGGAAAAGGGCATGTATATATGGGGAGCTAAACTGGGGGTTAATGAGTGACAGATGGAATGAAAAGTGGCTGATTAGGTGCTGTGACAGAACGGCAGGGAGAGACAGGGAAAAACTAAACACAAATACAGGAAGCATAGTCCAAACCATGACATCCATGTTAAAATGGCCAACTTTGCAGCAGAAAACAATGTTTAAAGCCTGGTACAAAAAAACAGTTCTGGTCTCTATAGGTATCTTCCCCTTTCATCCCACTGTATGTGGGATGAATTGTTTTATAACTCACCCCTTTAATATATATTGAGACTAAAAGTTACACATAATTAAAGACTTGGCCACTTTGAGTGACAGGTGGGAGGGTCCTGCCATAGGTGGCTGACCGCCAGCTGTCTAGAGCACTCCAGCTAAGCTCTGCCTCTTTGCCCATTTTGGATCAGACCTAGCAGGCAGAGTGACGCGCTACCAATATGGCAACGGTCAGACTTGAGCTTCAAAAAAAAAATTCAGAAAACTAATATGTGATGTCACAGTAGGTTTGTCCAATTTTTATATACAATCAATGGATTTAACAGAAACATTTTGCATTATAACAACGTACTCTGCACATTTTATGAGATACTTTCACATTAAAACATATTTTTCATGTTATTACAACACACTATATTTTCCTGTTATAAGACTTAGGCTATGTTGTCATTCTATCATATCCTGCTGGGATACCATTCATTCATTTTCTACCGCTTAGTCACTGAACGGGGTCACGGCGGGGGCCGGAGCCAATCCTGGCCAGCAATCGGGCGAAGGCGGGGTACACCCTGGACAGGTTGCCAATCCATCGCAGGGCTAACACATAGATGAACAACCACACACACGCACACGCACTCCTATGGGCAATTTAGAGACACCAATCAACCTAAGCTGCATGTCTTTGGACTGTAGGAGGAAGCCGGAGTACCTGGAGAGAACCCACGCAAGCACGGGGAGAACATGCAAACTCCACACAGAAAGGTCCCAGGTGTGGCCCGAACCCGGAACCTTCTCGCTGTGAGACAACAGTGCTAACCACTGTGCTGCAGAATGAGTACCATAATAAGGTGAATTCTGCACAGCGTGGAATGATTGCAGTGTGTTCACAATGACTCTAAACAGCTCTTTTAGTTCAGCAGCCTCTCGGTCATCAACAACTCCCATAACAATTTTCCACAGAGTGCAGCATTGCACTTGAGAGGTGCGCTCCAGCCACTCTTTGAGAGTCACCGATCTGATACTTAAATCCACGCACAATAAAAAGTCCACAAATTAACACATGAATGCAGCTCATGAGCCATGATAAATCAAATAATTAAAATAAAGATAAAACGTGAGCAAAATTGTTTAAAAAAATGTATGCACAGTGTGTCTGCAGAGGCCACTGATTATGAATAAAACTACTAGAATTTTTTTTTTATAATTGCCTCCATTTAAACTTGCTACAAAATTCAGTCTACATTCCCAGAGGGGAGAGAGTGGTGATTGGGGCAGACTTCAACGGGCACGTTGGTGAGGGGAACAAAGGTGATGAGGAGGTGATGGGCAGGTTTGGTGTTAAGGGAAGGAATCTAGAAGGACAGATGGTGGTTGACTTTGCTAAGAGGATGGAAATGGCTGTAGTTAACACCTATTTCCAGAAGAGTGAGGAACATACAGTTACATATAAGAGTGTAGGTAGGAGTATGCAGGTAGACTACACTCTATGTAGACGAGGCAATCTGAGAGATTAGTGACTGCAAAGCGGTGGTAGGAGAAAGTGTAGCCAGACAGCATCAGATGGTGGTGTGTAGGATGACTCTGGTGGTCAGGAAGAAGAGGAGAGGAAAGACAGAAAAGAAGACCAAGTGGTGGAAGTTGCAAAAG